TGGGAACTAGGACTCCCTATGTCACTCAGGCTGGAAGTGCAGCAGTCATATGTATGCTTGATCCAAATGCTGATTGGTATGGAAGTTTTAATCTGCTTCATTTTTCAAATCTAGGCTAGTTCATTTCTCCTTAAACAACCCAGTGGCCATCTACTCTGGGAGACACACCATACTGGTGCCAGACAATATGGACATCCAATTGCCTTAGGCCCCACTGTAGCTAAGAACTCCTGAACTGAAGTAATAAACTAGCCTCATCCTCCCCAGCTATAAGAATGACAGTTGTATGCTACCATATCTGGCTCTCCATCCTATATTGGGGCATTTGAATAGGATTTTTAATTAGATTATATTTCAGTGTGAGAGAGAGAACAACAAAAGGATGAGTTTATTAGGGAATGAGAAACAATAACATAGGGGTTCTCGCTCTTTTTTGTGTCATGGACTCCTTTGGCAGTCTGGTGAAACCTATGGATCACTTTTCCAAATATCATTTTTAAATGCATAAAATAAAATGCATAGGATTACAAAGAAATTCAATCATATTGAAATACAGTTATCAAAATACTTTTAAGAATAGTTTATTAACTCCAGTTTAAGAACCCCTGCTGTAAAAGAGCATTGAGTTGTAAATGTGGGTCTTTAATCAAGGAAAAATATATGAAACTGCAACAAAGAGTGAAAATAAATTTGGCATGTCTTTCTCTAAGTTTCAAAAATGTGAAAAGCTTTCTTTAAAGATCTGATGAGTTTTCTGGACTGTGAATATACATTGGCTTTGAAGTTGTTTGTGACAAAGGGTAAAAATCTCAAAGAGACTCTTCACAGAGCACAAATGTGAGCTATAAGGGACTACAAGGAAATGGTACTTTGGCTTGGCATAACAGGGTTATTGGTGGGTGTGTGCATCTAGGGGGAGGGTATGCTTAATTTGTATGGTTGGAATCAACTATTAAATCTATTCCAAACATTGAAGGGGAATGAAATGTTCAATTTTCCTATAACTTAAGGGGAAAATGGATTTTCATTTATGAATTGAGGGCAGGGACTGTTTTCCATTTTTGCTTTATATCTCAGTACCATCTACCTAGTAGGTATTTAATAAATACTTGTTAAACTGAATTGAATTGAAACTGCTTCAATTTATAGTTGAGTAGTAGAGGAAAAGCATCAGAACCATGATCACCATGGTGAGAACATAAAATATTGTTTAAAAATAATATGTATTTATATACATGACCATGTGTACTCATAAGAAAATTTCCCCTGTATATATTTACCTTTGAAAGATTGGTTTTCAGTTAAATGAAACCCTAAAATCCATTTTCACAGGCCTGGAAGGCTTCTAAAGGTTAGGGGATAAACTAACAGACCATTCCATAGAAATGAGTATCTCATTTGTTAAGCACTCCAAGGTAATTTAGCTTTCCCTGAAAATTTTGTCTTCCAGTCTCCCAGTTACCTAAGACTTATCTGGTCAAGAACTCATGAAAATAAAGCAAGCAGCTGATTGACACTAGTACCTTCAAATAGTCTAAGGGTTGCTGAAGAGGAAAGTGTTAGAAAGCCAGACTTACCCAAAGGTCATTAAATTTTAATTCTCAAAGCAGTTAAATGCCAGCAGCAGATAAGATGGCTAGCCCATTAGTAACTGACCTCTAACCCACAAGAAGAAAATGCTGTAGGATCAGAGATTTAGAGCTGGAAAGTACCTTAAAATCATCTTCTTTCTGATTTCCAGATAAAGGCATGGAGGCCCAGAAATTAAGTGATTTACTGCAGGTTGTAAATCCAGAACTAAACCTAGGTCCTTTGATTTTCAGTCTGGCCTTTTTTTCAATTATACCATGCTGCCTCAGAAATGCTATTTCAGTTTCCAAACAATTTCATTCCCTGTTCTTTATCTTTTTTATTATCAGCTCCCTTTCTGATAATCCTGGATGTGGAGGGCTTAAAAGGGAAGAGGATAGCTAATTCATATTCAGACCTTTTGAAACTAGGCTTTCCAGTTTTGTGAATCATAAGGAGTAGCTGGGTGTCTAAATCTGAATCCTGGTGAAAAAATATGATTATTTTGTATGTTCTAAGGATATTCAAGTAAAACACTATATATTTTATGGTGGAAAGAGGGGCAAGCTAGAGGTGCTCCACCCAGCTAGTCTATTCACATTGTTTGTGGGGAGAGAATAGCAAATTCCTAGCTAACATCTCGGATGCAAGGGAGCATATATTCCTGTCTACACCCTGGAAATTCCCACTTTCTGACTTTGTCATTGGGGTCCTATAAGCAATAGTGGCAAGAATACTAACTTGGAATCACAGGTTATCAGGTCAAATGCCAACTCTGCTGCTTGCTAGCCAACTTGGGCAAGTCAGTTAGCCCCACTGAGTTTCAACTTCCTTATTTGTAAAAGGAGGATTGTTATATCTGTACTATTTAGGTAGTTAGTTGGTTCAGTAGGTAGACCACTGGGCCTGAAGTCAGAAGGACCTGAGTTCAAATCCAACCTCTGACACTTACTATCTGTGTGACCCTGAGCAAGTCACTTAACCTTTATCTTCCACAGTTTCCTCAACTGAAAAATGGGGACATAATAGCACTTACTTCCCAGGGTTGTTGTGAGGATCAAATGAGATAATAATTGTCAAGCCCTTAGCATGGTGCCTGGCACAAAAAATACTTATACCCTTATTCCTTATTCCCTACCTCACCAGGTTGTTGTTAGCACCATAACATTGTCTTGTGATCACACTTCTTAATTGTAACACAATGTAAATGTAAGCTATTATTTCTATTTCTTTCTGGGAGATGGTTGTGGTATTTGTGGGCTGGGAAATTCCTACTCCTTTGCTTGGAGATTGTAACCGAGCACCCCAAGGTGAGTATAGCAATGAATAATAAATAGAAAGGGCATTGGACTTGGAGTCAGAACCCCAAGTTTCAAATTGTTTCAAGAATTAAATTAAATAATGTACGGAAAGTTCTTGATGACCCAAAGGGGCTATATTATGTAAACAAGTAGAATGTGGGTTTGCCTTTTTTCTCCCCAGCACAACCAGTCTATGAAAAATCATATTTCATAGGATCATAGGCTTTTAAGGTAAAAGGAACCTTAGGAATCATCTAGGACAACTGTCACATTTTAGAGATTTGAAAACTGAGTCAAACAGAAGTGGCTTGCCCCAAGTCACACAGATAGAAAGTCATGGAATTCTCCCTAGAGCCCTGGCCTGTTGGCTGTGAGGTCAGTACTCTTTCCACTAGACTGCAAAATAGAAAGTGAGTCATCACTTCACAAAAATGATTAACAGTAGAACTACTTTAAATAGAATGTCCCCGTCATTCATTTAAAGGGTAATTTGAGTGGAATCTATATGATTTACAGACAACTTTTCAGGAATTGGAAAGTACACCAGTGTCACCTGCAGACCAAATAACTAGCTAACAACTAATACACCAACTTGGGAAAAATTGTTGACATTCAACGCCCAAACACAAGCATCCATTCATAAATGTAAACTAACTCAGCCAAGATCAGAACTGCTATTTGCAAAGGACAAAGTTACTCATAGTCAATCACCTGGGGAGAAGTATGCCTTGCACACAGAATATATAGGCCATACCACATTCTCAACATATAAATGAAACCCTCTTTTAAAGAACCAGTTTTCTTCACATACTACAGTAGGGGTTTATTCTAAGATGCCCAGCTTTCATCTGAGACAAAGTCATTTTTGGAAAACTAGTTTTTTAGTGTATGGCTATTTAAAGACTATGCTCACTTGAAAATACTAACTTAGATATCAATATTTTTTCTATAACACCCAAAAATAAACAACCTTGCAATTAGGCAGACCCCAGAAGTCCTTTCTTTTTACAGCATTCTTTCTGCCAAACTGTACTGAAATCCCATGCCAAAAATCATTTAAAGTGATACCCTAATTAAGGCAAATGTGTTTAAATGTTTCTATTCAAATTTTTACCCACACTTTCTTGTTTATATCCTTGTACTCACAAGCTACATTACACCACCTGTTGTAGAAACAATGGGCAGTTTCATAATTCTTAAAACTCTTCTTTCATTTTTATGGGGACCTTTTAAAAATAATCTCCTTATATAAGATAAATACTGTTTCTAGTAACATATTAAACAATTGCAGGTTTATAATATTAATGTATGTTAAAGAAACTAGAAGAAACCTAGAGAGATGACATTGTTTTCTGGCTCAAGTAATGGCCTCTAGTGATTATTATGATAATACTGATGAATATTATTTATTAATGTAGCATGGAAAACATAAAGACATATGTAGATATAATTCAGCAAATAGATATTAATAATCCTTTTGAGCAGCACCAAATATGGTATTTTGATTTTTAGACTATATGGTAGTTATCATATTCTCAGAAGATTAGACCTCTCCTTAATCATCAATAAATGGTCTCTTCTACATATCTTTTATAGCCATATTATTTAATAGAAAAGTGAGGATGTGTTTTTAAGTAGCCAAATGTGTCAGTATAATATTATAGTCAGATCAGTCTGTACAAGCATGGCCTATATTAGGCTGTAAAAGAAAAACTAAGCCATGAGAATCATACTTCCAGTTTCACTAGAATTTTTTTTTTGTTTTAGGTTGAGGTTTTAAAAAAATACTAGACATTTAAAATTTAAATTTAATAATAAATTTTATGTAAACATGAGCTCCATCAAGGAACCCTCAAAATTTCCAGAGAAATAGTCATTAAATGCCATAGAACGGAGAGCTTCTAAGTGCCTGAAAAAACACAAGATCAGTAACACCACCTAATCTCTATCATAATTCACAATTTATAGGCAGAGGCTAGCTTTCCTTTGGAAGATATAAAACAAAAGAGGATTTCATTGAATACAATCAACATGAACTCGACAAACACAAGCATGGAGATGATTTTTAAATAATAAAATGACCATTGTGTTAGATTCTATTATGTATATGATAAATGTTTTCCAGCTTACCTGATAAAAAGAGAATTGCAAATCACAGCACAAAGCCCAGCATCCAAGAAGATTACAGGATAATGTGCCTTCAAAGGCAGTTGTTGAGGTTTTTAGCCACAGAGGTTTACAAATTAATTACAATTTTCTGCATTCTCTGTGGACAAGAAAACAAAGAGACCTTTCCAGAATCCTCTCTGCTTCTGCCTCCGCTTCCTGTTCTGAGTCTCACTCTATGGTACCCAACATATATGAGAAAACGGCTTGGAAAAAAAAAAAAAGAAAGAAAAAGCAAGCGGCTACCTAACAAGTAGCTCCATCTGCTGGTCACAAATCAGGAAAAAAGGAACTGAGAACTAACCCGTTCATCATTTTTTCCCCTTAACCTGAGAAGTGAGTTTACCTAAAACAACCAGTAGCTATGCATTGTGTAGTGCAAAGAACGTTGGACTTAGAGTCAGAAGACCTGGATTTGAATCTTAGCTTCTGGGTTTGTATCTCAGTGGTTTTTAACTGTTCCTTGTGTGAAATTCAACAACAGCATGTGACCACTTGGGGTCTCAGTTTCTTTATGTGTAAAATGATGAGGTTGTGCTAGAATCAGTAGTGTCAAACTCAAATACAAATGATCCCTTTGGGGCTACATGTTGACTTTGAAAACAAATTAAAATTATTTATGCTGTATTTTTATTTTGTTAAACATTTCCCAATTACATCTTAATCCTGACTGGACTGCACTCAGCCCATAGGTTGTACAACTATGATGACCTTTATTGTCCCTTCAAGAATTCTAACTCAGTGATCCTAATATATGTATACATACATACATACACACACACACACACACATGCACACACACACACACACACATATATATATATATATATACACTATAATGACAATGAGCTATAGAGGGAGAAATTTCCCAAGGCTCTGAATTACAATTAAGTGCTTAGTGTAGTCTGTTACTTATCACCAGCACTACTCTAGATTTTAAAAGTAATTTCATCCATAAATGATCATTCAAATTCATATGACACTTTAATGTTTACAAATTGCTTTGCTCGCACCTGTGTCAGGTAGGGAGTGCAGGTATCTTACAAGTGAGGAAACATAACCAGTACTAGACAGCTTATAAGGAAAAAGTAAGATGAGATGTTAATTCTGGTCTCAAATCTAAGACCAATGTTCTGCTACCATATACTACCTCCCCCAAAATATCAATGATAAGAAAATAAAATAACTCCATTTAAAAATCTTTTTTCAGGTAACCTTATGCAATTCTGTTTTTAAAAAGCAATCATACTTGTTATTTCTCTTTTTTTTTTTGAGAACTTATCTCAAGGCATTAAATGTATCTGTTGAAATGCTTTGAAGTTATATTGAGAGGAAAATCTCACCTATCTGACACATGCACATTATAAGCATAAATTAGTCGCTCATAGTCTCTCAAAAACTTTTGCAAGTGGCATGTCTAAAAGAAATAGAATTTGAATATGGAAAACTCATTTACAGTACAGTAAAATCTCATTAACTTACATTGTACACCTTTGAAACTTGTGATCATTTGAACCGAGACTAGTTTGAAGCTCACCTTTGCTTAACAAATCCCTTCTAAGTTGCAGGGGAAATGTTAAAATACTTAAGAAAATAAACAAGTTATGATCACTTTAAAAGCATAAAATGAATATGCTAATTATAGAGAGTTGTTAGTAGTTCATAGAATACAATGCCTATTTGGTTTGAGTTTGATTATTTTCCTAATAATAATTTTTAATCTTTTAATCTTTCTCTCTTTGTTTTATGACCTTTAATCCTTCCTGATCTTCCCCACCAGAGACCTCCAGTCTTCCACCTCTCTGTACTTTCCTAGACATCTACCCCTGTTCTGGTTATGCTTTACTTTCCTTCTCATCTAACAGCCTTCCGATATGATCCCTCACTGTTTTCCATTCTAATAGAATCTGCTTGAGAGGTAGTCTTTCTGCTTGCCAATGCTAACCTATCTATTTTTACCCTTGATCCCTTCCCATCCAGCAGATTGTCCCCATTATCATCCTCTAATCTCTGATCTCTCCCTTTCCACTTGTTTTTTTTCCTTACTTATTACAAATGCACTCTTATCTCCCCTATCCTTAAAAAAAGCTTCATTAGATCCTACTAGCCCCAATAGTAATCATTCTGTATTGTCACCTCCCTTCTAAACCACACTCCTTGAAAAAAGCCATCTCTACTAGTGCCATCAATTCCTCTCCTCTTCCCCTATTCTAAACTGTAAACAAAATGGCTCCAGTACACCCTGTTGTGTCCTTTCAGCTTATCAAACTCAATACATGTCATTATATTTTCCCCCAAATGGCCATCTTTTCTAACTTCGGTATTTTTGTCAAGGGAACCATTATCCTTCTAGCCACCCACATTTGCACCCTTGTTGTCTCTCTCTCTTTCCCCACATATTCAATCAGTTGTCAAATCTTGTTTCTGTTTCCACAATATGTCTTGTATACATCCCCTTCTCTCCATTTATATAGCCATTACCATAATTCTGACCCTCATCATCTTTTGAATAGATAGATAAATAGATATAAGGTATTTACTAAGCTTTGTATATGTTATCTATTATAGATATAATATATCTAGATTTCTATTATATATATCTACATATATATATTATATATATCTAGATATCTATTATATATGTTATCTATTTGAACCTCATAACAACCTTGGGAAGTTATGGTGTTACTATCTCCATTTTACAGATGAGAGGCTTAGACTGGGGGAAGTTAAATGACTTGCTTGGGGTAAGTCTTTGAGGCAAGATTTGAACTTGGGTCTCCCTGACTTCAGGTCTAGTGTTCTGTGTATTATGCTTCTTAATTACCTTGAACAGAGTTGGCTTGCTTTTAAATCTCTTGTGGTTTCATCTCTGCTAATTCATAGTGTTTCCCCCATATTCTCATTTAATTCAAATTAGTTAGATTTTGGTTGAAACTAAGTAGAGCATATTTTTTCTCAAAAGGGAGAAAATTTGGATAAAAAAAGATAAGATGTTTGTTAGAAGGAAACTAAAAGTGCATATGTTGGATTTTCTTTTGTTTACAAATGCCCTTTACTATCTCCACATCCAGACCCTAAATTCTTCCTCCCCACACAAATCTTATGTTCACTATATCCTCAGATCCCAATTATTTATATTAATTTTACTCACTAATAACTATTAGTATATCTACATGCCTACTTTCTACTATCTCCATCATCCCCATAGGTTTCTGGTAATATCTTGCAGGCAAGAGACACAATAGGTGGTCACAATTGAAGAAACAATTATTTAAATAAAAAGAATTATGATTTTACTACAGCTTATATTTCTTATGCTTAACACCCTTATCTCTAAGTGTTTATGAATATGGAAAACAAATAACTACTGATATGTCAATTAATGAACATAGCTAAGGGTTTTCAGTTCCACCAACTCTCCTACTCCTTCTCAAAAAAGAAAGGTCAGTAAGGGCCATTTTGCCTTTTGTTTATTACAGGAAAAATTGGATCTCAAGGCCTTCTAAGATGCAAAAACAAATAGGACATCATTTATGTCTATAAACATTCCAAAAGGGAGTCCTTGCTAGGACAGAAGATTTGGCTGCAATAGGTATTATATGTTGATGCCTTATTTAACTGGGCTTTTAGAGATCTCTTGTACCATTCTAAAAGTACCTTTGCTGAACTTACCAGAACAAAATCATTTCAGTTGTCCTTTTAGGATCCCTTCACTTTTATATTTTGTAGTGGTTGCCTGGTTGGTTACCATGCTTATAAATAGATTTACCCATGGATTTATAACCTTCATTGTCAAATCCAACCTATGCATCACTTGTTTTAAAGCCATTGCCCTTGTCCTGACCCCATTCATTTATTGCCCAGATTTCTATAGTCTCTTCTCTAGCCTCTCCACTTCCAACATGTCCATATGCAAATGAATTCCTCATGCCAGTTCCAGAGTTGGCATCTTATGATTAGCTCACATTTATATAGCATTTTAGAGTTTACAAAGTGTTTTTCTCACAATGACCCTATCATATTCATTACTTAAGGGATGAAGAAATTATAGTGCAGGACAGTTAAATACCTTGCCTAAGGTCACCGCATTAATAAGTGGCAGATTCAGGACTGGAATCCAGGTATTCTAAATCTAAGGCATTCTAAGAGTTTTACTTTATACCATGCTTTTATCATGCCTCATGCGTGCATGCGCACACACACACACACACACACACACACACACCCCTATATCACAAGTGCCCAACATGGAGCACATGAGCCATATGTGATATGCCTTAGATTTTTTAGTGTACTGTTGAAGGTTGTTGGACTTCGAGTCAGGAAGCCTGGCTTCAAAATCTACTTGTGGGTCCTGGAGCCAGTGACTTGACCTCTCCATATCTTGATTTGTCTTATCTGTAAAATGAAAAAGGTAATAATACTTGTCCTAACTAACCTTATGGAGATATGGTAAGGAGAATGCTAAGAGGGTTATAGATTTAAGTGATTATTATTTAGCAATCTTGTAAAGTAATACACGGGAACAAATAGATTAATAGGCCCAACCACTTGCCTCCTATTATTATATAAATACCAGCTAATGTTGTTGTTACTGTTGTGTAAATAAATTTTACCAAGAATCAAGCTAGCAGGTGTAAATCAATTATCAATTGTAATTAAAGCTTAATACAGTTGATCATATAATTACATTTATGTGATCTAGAAACATTTATTCCTGACTACATGATCTACTAATGAAAAGTTTGGGCAGTAACACCTTAGATTACTACAATGGATTTCCATCACACCATAATCTGGTTTATAGTCAGTCTGCCCATTTGCCTGAACATATTCTCAGCTTTTCCAGGTTGCATTTGTTCAATATACCCTTTAACTGTTTAATTTGTGCATATGAACCTGTTTTAAAGTTTTTTCCAAGCCATATCCTAGACCTGGATTAGCAGGGCCTCTCCCCCCACCAGCCTGACTCTCTAAGCTCCCATCTCCTACAGAAACCTTCAATTAATTTGAAAAGTGACAGGGATTCCCCCCACTATTTCACTCCTACACTTAAATCTTTATTTATCACCCCTGCTGAAAGAAAAAGATCATCTTTTTGTGCTTATTGTAAATTTTGGTTTTGGTCCAGACCTATGATT